CCTAAGATCACACAGCCAGGAAATGGCAGAGTGGGATTTTATCCTATGTATACAGCCCATCGGCTTCACACTACCCCAGCCTCCTCTCATTGTTGAGGGAATGGGACAAGGAATCCTGACCACCAGATGACTTGCTGGGGAGGCCTTTTCTAAAGCAGCCACACTTGTGCTCATAGAAACGTACACATGATGCTCCCAGCATGGCACACTCAGAGGCTGAGAGCAGCGCACAGCCCTCCAGCTTTTGTGGGGAGAGAGGTTCGACCCCAAGAGAAGGGAGCCCTCAGCTCCAGCTTCTCGCCCAAGATGGCTCTGCCATCACTGGGTTTCCCAGGTACCACCTTCCCTGGCATGATGCTGCCCCTGAAGCACATAGCAGCTGCTCTCTTCCTCCTGCTCCCTCCCCTTTGTCTTGCTCTGTCCTACCACCCAGGCCTCTCCCACTTTCCAATTAGCCTTTTGCCATTTGCTTCCACCATCACCCTTTGTCCCCACACATCACAGCCTCCTCTCCCCTTTGTTGGCAGCCCAGGGCATGGGGATGACAGTAGTGCAGTGAGGGCATCAGACACCAGGTGGCAGCACCAGGCACCACCTGGTGCCACCCAAGTGCCCTTCCAGTAGGGGGACCTGGCCAGGGAGCGGGCCCTCACACTGATGGACACCTCTACAGCCAGGTGCTCTGTAGATCTTCCCATAGGAGGAAACAGGCTCACAGGGCCCAGCGAAGGACTTGTCTGTGCATGGGGGAGCCAGCCACTGGAGTGTTGAGTTCCAGTGATCCCTGCCCAAGGCCGGTAGATCCAGGAGTAATCCGCGACAGTGGTTGCCTGGAGGGGAATTAACTCTCAACAGTGAGTTTAATTGTGGGCTGGCATCCTGCTCTAAGGCAGATCTCCGGAAAGCAGCTCAAGATGGTGGTGGCTCCAGTGAATGCCCAGGAGGGAATCATAAGAACTTGAAACTGTGTTTCTTAGTCCTGGTCCAGGTGTAGGAACTGCTGACTGTGGCCCACAGAGCTAATTAATTCTTCTTGCTTTGAAAACTCCTGAACTGGAAAAAAAAACCTTCTTGAATCACACAGCAGCCATTGCTCACATGCATGCCAAATCAGATCAATTGCAGGCTGGGGGCAGAGGGGCAGCCTTGCTGAGGCCGGAGGTGGAGCCAGTGCCCCCCCACAGACCCCTTCCCTCCAGCTGGAAACAGGTCCCGCCCCACTGCATGGGAGAAGAGAAGAGTGGGCTGGAGATGGGAGCTGGAGGTTGGTTTGGAGGTACTCCAGGCCTTCAAGGAGCCACAGGGACTAAAAAGAATTGGGCAGTGAGTGGATGGGAGAACTAGCAGCCTGTTTTGCTATTCCACCCCCTTCTGCCTGTCTTATCAGTCCCCTCTTGACTCTCCCTGTTTGCAGTATTCCCTGTGTCTGGGTCTCCCCGATCCATCCCCCCACCCTCAGCCCTGTTGCTCTGCTCTCTTCTCTCTGCTCTCATTCCTGCTCAGAACCATACCTTGCAATTATCTTATCTTTCCTTCTCCCTGCCAGGAAATCTCTGATGTTGGGTTCTCCTGGAATGCTTTCTGGTGGGGGAGGTGCAGCCCGTGCTATGTCCATCATTCCTGGAGTTGCAGTCAGTTGGGGAGAGAGGATGGGGCTGGGGCCACTAAAGCTGGGGTAGGTGCATCCCTCCATCTGCTGCAGCCCAACCCGCAGGTCTAAGTTGCTCCTCTTGGGAGAACAACCAAGATGTTCTGAAAACTCAAAAGCAGAGTAGACGGTACCCACCTAATGCCCAGTGGCCTCACTACTTATAACCTCTTCTAGGATCATGAGATACTTGTTTGGTCAACAAACATTTCCTGAGGACCAACTTTGCCAGGCACTGTCCTAGGTGCAGGGAATATAGCAATAAGCAAGACTTGGTCTCTATCTTTAAGGTGCCCACAGTCTTCTGGGGGAGTTAACAAGATAATCAGTGAGTAAAATACAGAAAGGGAGGGCTGTGCAGAGGAAGGGTCCCTAGCACAGGACTGGGGTGGGGGAGGTTCAAGGAAGGCTGGGGGCAGGGCTTAAGTGAAATCTTCAAGCAGGAGTAGTTTGCCAGGTCCAGCATGGGAGGTGAGTTGAAGGGAGGAGACCATGCCGGGCAACCTTGAAGGGGATCGGGGGGCAGGAGTACAACAGCTAAGGATAAAGGAAATTGCTTCTGGCCCAAGGAGGCTGTGTGGAAACAGCCTGGTGTTCGGAAGTTGTGGAGCTCATCCTGCCTTTGCCAGGATAAGATGTCTCCAGGCCTCAGTTTCCCTGCTCTGGTGAGAACAACCAAATCCGTAATGTCTTATTCAAGGACTGTGCAAAGGGGCTGCATTCCAGGAAGGGCCAGAAAGGGTGAAGCACCCATGAATACCTCAAGGAAGATGGGAGAAGGTGAGGATTGTCAAAGTCTCCAGCCAAGATCTCAGAGGCCCCCACCTGATGCCACAGGCTTGGGTAGGGCTCTCCAATGGCAGGATGAGAAGGCTGGGGCCAAAACATATGGTGCTTCAGCCTCAGTGCTGAAGATGGAACCCCAAGGGTCCTGGCTCCAAACAAAAGGAAGGGTTGGAGGCAGTTTCCCAGCTGCTCACCAAGGAAGCCTAGATCACCAGGGCTGGAAGAGACCATAGATCTTGTCTAAGTTGCTCAAGAAACTGAGTCCCAGAGACATTAGGAGCTCGTTGAGGTCACACAATGTTCAAAAGGCACTGCCCCAGGTATGCAGGAGGATGGGAGGTGATTCAGTCAATCCCTGGCCTTGGGAACCTCTCAGACTGGCAGAGAGGACAGACTCTTCACAACTAAATATAACCCCAGGCACATTGTGACAAGGGTGTGCAAGCTCTGTAAAGTATTTGGCTCAGAGCTGGGGGTGAGGGTGTAAGTGGGTGAGTGGAGGTTGATGGGGGGTGGGGGGCAGGCAAAAGGCCAAGAGCCAGGAGGACTTGCCCAGTGGCGCGGGGAGGGCCCTGGTCCTGAAGCCTGGGAAGGGGAAGCCTTGTGCACCCTGCTCCCGTGCCCCACCCATGTGGCTCACCGCTTTGTTCTGATAGCTTACAGCCCGAGGAAGAGACTTCCTTCTGGTAACTTCCTGCCCACCCAGAGGGTAGGTCCGTGGCTGGCTGCCTCAGTGATCTTGCTGGCGACCACCCACACACCTGCTGCTGAGCAGCCAACGAAGAAAACACCCTCTCTTGAGAGCACATTGCCAGGGAAGGGACCATCAGGGTGAACCTGGGCAAATCCTGCAGACAGGGACAAGGCTGGGAGGCAAGGGTTGGGAGAGAGGCACCCATGGGAAGTGCTGCCAGGAGGGAAATTGCTTCTCAGCTTCAAGAAGGGGTGGTGAATTGCTTCTGGGATCCTATTAGGGAAGACAGGGTGATGGGAGAGTGAGACGTGGAGGGCCGAGAGTCCCAGCATGGCCATGCTAGAGTAAGCAGAAGGAAATCCGGACCCCAAATCAGTTTTACAGATGCGGATGTGGAAACTCAGCCTTAGGAGGATGGTGCTAATAGGAGGGCTTCCTGGAGCATCACGAGATCACTCCCACCCCGACTAGGCTGAAGGGCAGGAAATTAACACATGTTGGTGCCTACTAAATGTGCCAGGCAATGTGCACGCCTTTCCCATTCAGTCCTCAGAGTAACCCTATGAGGTAGGTCCAATGATTACCCCTATTTTACAGAAATGAATGTCAAGGCAGAGGGGTGCTGAAGCAGCAGGCACATGTAATCAGGGAGCCGCAGAACCTCAGAAAGGTAGCAATTTAAAAGAATCGTAGGGAGCTACCACCTGGATGATGCCTGGGGTCCCCTCCTATCCCTCTCTCCTTGGGTCCACACGCACACACGTTCTGCCTTGGTGTCTGCCAGTTCCCCAGTCTTCTGGATTGTCTGGGCACACAAGTTCTGCCCATTTCACAGGTAAGGAGACACGTCCTGAGACAGACGTGACCTTACCAAGGATTTATTCACACAGGAAGTGTTGTTGAGTCCCTTTCCACTGCTCTACGACTCGTCGGCCCCCAGCGGAGTTGTGCGCGGTGGGGGCACTTTGGAAACAGACCCACTGTGGCTCTATCAGCCTCAGTGTCTGGAGGGGCGTGTCTCCAGCGCGGCCCAGCGGCCACTCGGAGGGGCTGTCACTGTGTCAGGGGACCCCATCCCTGACCCAAAGTCCCTCCAGAAGCCTCAGGTTCAGGGAGGCGCTGTTGCCATTCGTCAGGGACTCAGACAATTCAAAGCAAAAGGCCTAGGGTTACGGGGCGGACCGGGGCGGAGCGCGGGGTGCGGCGGCGGCACCGGGCGCGCCCTCGCGTGCTGGGGAGGCGACCCGCTCGCCTTCCTCACCGCCGCGCCCCAGCCCCATGGACGTCCTGTGCGGCTCCGGGGAGCTTGGCTCCAAGTTCTGGGTAAGGAGGTGAATCAGGGAGCCGCAGAACCTCAGAAAGGTAGCAATTTAAAAGAATCGTAGGGAGCTACCACCTGGATGATGCCTGGGGTCCCCTCCTATCCCTCTCTCCTTGGGTCCACACGCACACACGTTCTGCCTTGGTGTCTGCCAGTTCCCCAGTCTTCTGGATTGTCTGGGCACACAAGTTCTGCCCATTTCACAGGTAAGGAGACACGTCCTGAGACAGACGTGACCTTACCAAGGATTTATTCACACAGGAAGTGTTGTTGAGTCCCTTTCCACTGCTCTACGACTCGTCGGCCCCCAGCGGAGTTGTGCGCGGTGGGGGCACTTTGGAAACAGACCCACTGTGGCTCTATCAGCCTCAGTGTCTGGAGGGGCGTGTCTCCAGCGCGGCCCAGCGGCCACTCGGAGGGGCTGTCACTGTGTCAGGGGACCCCATCCCTGACCCAAAGTCCCTCCAGAAGCCTCAGGTTCAGGGAGGCGCTGTTGCCATTCGTCAGGGACTCAGACAATTCAAAGCAAAAGGCCTAGGGTTACGGGGCGGACCGGGGCGGAGCGCGGGGTGCGGCGGCGGCACCGGGCGCGCCCTCGCGTGCTGGGGAGGCGACCCGCTCGCCTTCCTCACCGCCGCGCCCCAGCCCCATGGACGTCCTGTGCGGCTCCGGGGAGCTTGGCTCCAAGTTCTGGGTAAGGAGGTGTCCCGGGACCGAGGGCGCGCACAGGACAGCCCCCGAGACGACCCGGGGGAGGGCGCGATGCGACGCCGCTGGGGGTCTGGCCACGCCCAGAACCGGGTCTCGCGGCGTCGGAACTGCCCTGAGCCCGGGCCGCACGGAGGAGCCGGGACTCGAGGCACGACGCTCCTCGCCCGCGAGTAGGAGGTGCATCCCTGACTTGCCGCCTCACCCCAGTCCCTGACCGCAGGGTACAGAAGTATTACCTACCTTTCTGATGACCCTCCACCTGCCTCATGAACTGGGGCTCAGTTGCCCGCCCTTGGCCCCAGGGCATCTCCTTGGAGTTCTGCTGGCCTTCTCCTTGGAAAGGGTTCCTGCCACCTTCCCTCTGGGCAAGAGCCACCACAGACGAAGGGAGCTTGCTGCCCTCGCCTCAGGAAAGAGAGGCAGACCTCACTTGACAGGCAGGCCCTGACTGGCACAAGATATCAGGACTCCCTGAGTAGAAAAGCAGGCTGTTTAACCCACACTGGCCAGATCCCATTCTAAGACATCAGGCTGCTGTTTCTAGACACCTCCCTCCCCCCACAGCATGGTTCAGGCACATTAAGTGTAAACAGCCTAACAGCCTTCTTACAGCTTTCAAAACCCGCTCATGGCAGCGCCCTGATCTTCTCTGCAGCTCTGGGAAGCAAGTGGTAGCATGTCTCCCTTTTACAGATGGGCTCAGATTCAAGGGGCTTGTCCATGGTTATCCAAGGGATGCCCGGCATAGGCTGGTCTCAGATCCAAGGCCTCAGGATCCCAATCTCGAAATCTGTTCCCCGTTTTGAGTATTTGTTCATATGTACCTGGTGTTCATGTGCCAGGTGTGTATGATGATGCACGGCTGTGTACTTGTGTGGGTGCATGGGTGTGTGTATGCATGTGTGTGTATACTGTTAGGAACCCCACTCTTGGGCTGTGTTTGGAATGGGTTGGGGGGTTACATGGATTTTTTAAAACATGGGCAATGGAGTATGTGTAAAAAAGTATCTTTGGGGACTTCTCTTTTTCTCCGGGTCACTAAAGGGTTAACAGAGAGGGTGCAACTTCTCTGCAGTCTACCCTTCTCAGCAGCCCCATAGGAGCACCATCTGCATCCAGCCTGGACTGGTCAACAGAGTCCAGAGGTTGCGTTTGGCTCCTCAGGACACATCCTTGCTCGCTCTGCCCACTTGGTACCTGGCTGGGATGGCTGTGGCAGGGGACTTGCAAATCCAGGGGATAGATGTGCCCATGCCTCAAACACAAGGGCATCTGTCCCCCATTGAACAGCCCTGAGAGAAAGGTTGGCTTCAGGGATCCTGGATCTGGAAGACTCAGGTCTCCCTTCTTGTTCTGGAGCCTTTGGCTCTCCCCCTCCCTGATGTGATAGACTCCAAGAAGGACAGAACTTGAGGGTTTGGAGCAGTTTATCCCAGCCCCTCATTGTGGAGCTGGGGAAACTGAGGGCCAGGGAGGGAATGGGCTTGTCAAGATCATACAAGCAGCTGAAGAGTGCTAGACCAGAAAGCAGGACCCCTGGGATGGTGTTCCAACCTTGCCACTGCCGGACTGGACACCACTGGGCTTCTGGGCCTGCTGCTCCCTGAACTTCTTGCTGCTTGTGAGCTTCTGTGCCTCCTTTGAGGACCTCAGGAATGATGGGAGTCAGTTCATTTATATTAGGTCCAAGGGATGAATCCCTTATGGGGTTGCTGCTTGGGTACATCAAAGGACAAGGAACTGACTACCTTTCTTCCTCACCCCAACGTATAAACATACTCCATCTGCCACATCACCTTCTTGGCTCCCGAAAGCTATTCCAGCTGCATGCAGTGTGGTTGGTGACTGGGGGTGGGGTGGGGAGCAATCAGAAAGGCTCCTAGCTCATCCTCTGAAGGTTTGCGCAACTGACGCAGGGTCTGAGGCCAGGAGGCTCTAGCTCCATTCCCCAAAAGGGTACTCGTTTGTGGTGTGCTAGTTTGCATTTCATTTGCATTATATGTTATTCAGGTATGCCTGTCCCTGAATCTTTTATCATTGGGTTCTGTGGGTGACCCACCTTAAGGGAGGTAATTCAGAGCAGTCAGAAAGTACCTGAGCCAGGAGTGAAAAGGTGGGAGTGGAGGAAGAATGGGGGGTCGGGTCCCTCTGGCCACTTATTCACTGTATGAAGCCTTTGCAGTAGCATATCCTCACACCCTCAGTTTCTCTGCTTGTGAAATGGGGAACTAACCCATCTTCTAAGCACCTTACAAGATTATTGTGGAGATCAAGTGAGATAGAGAATGTGAGATGATTTTGAGAACTAAAAAACACTCTATGAGTGACAGGGTCTGATAATGCTGGGGAAAGGAGGGAAGAGAAAGAGAAATGGCGTAAGATCTGGGAAGACCTGCAAAAAGGAGGTTACAGGGCTGGGGGTCTGGATGCTCCCATTGCAGCTGTTTGCTGGGGAGTCTGTGGCTAAATCCATCAGTCAGCCCCAGCTAAAGCTAAGGGGGGCAGCCTCTAGGGGATCCATGACTCCCTGGACGTGTGCACTCGTGGCTATGCCCTCACACACAGCATGCACTGGGTGGGTGGTTTACCTGTTTGTTTGACTCTCTCTCACCTCTACCTGCTTTGGGGCAGCTTACCAACATCTCTGAGGGCTTGGGAGTTTTTCTGGAAATAAATTCCAAAAGAATGAACTGTGACCAAGCTGCCCAATGCTCATGAGGCCAGAGATGCCTCTAGAACAAAGGAGGTGATACTCTCCCTGTGCTGTGCCCCACTGTCCCCTGCATGGAGGATTATTCCCTGTTCTGAGCTTAGCGGTAGGGGAGAACCCAGGTGGTAAAGAGAGTACATGAAAGAAGGGCCTGGGGTCATTTACTTTGCTGAGATCTTTATGATTTGCAGAATTAGCCTTGTTCTGATGGCCCCAGGAAGCTCTTAGGAGACTGATGTCACCTCAGAAATCTGAAGGTCCTGATGAGGAGAGCTGTCCTGAGATGGCCCTGATTGTCTGAGAAGTAGTGAGCTCTCTGTCACTGGGAGTGTGCAAGCACATGGTTAGTGACCACTTGGTGGGGATGCTGGAGAGATTTACACCAAGGAAGGAGTTGGGTTCCACACTGAAATTCTGTGACCAGGTAGGAAAGGGAAGATGTAGCCAATGGGAAATTTCTGGACCTCCCTTCCCTGGCTCTCTCCCCAGCTTAGGCATGGAGTTTACCTTGGGGCAGCTCGTGTAGAGACTATGGGTCTCCCACTGGTCAGGCACCAGCACCTTCCCAACTGATCCCTTGGCTGTCTACCAGCCCTACAGAGGGGCAAAGCCCTCCTCCTTCCTCTGAGAGACTCAGCTCAGCTCCCTGTGTCTCCTGCTGTGTTCCAACTAGTCCCATTCTGTCATTCACTATCTGTGTGACTTTAGGCAAATCACTTACCCTCTCTGGGCTCCATCTGGGCTTAGGTGGGCTCTGGGTCTAGTTGCCCATTGCTGATTCTGGGAGGCTGAGGTGTAGGCTCAGTGTGAGGCAATGATTAGGGCCTTCAAACTTTAAGGCTGCTGAGTATCGGGGTCTTCCCTGGCTTCTTTCAGGCCCTTGCCCAGGTGTGTGAGTATTGCACAAGGCTCTGATTTCAATGTACTTTGACTCTCAAATGAAGAGTCATTTGCAAAACTGTGGGGACACTGGCAGAGGCAGGCAGGTGTGTGGGAGGTGAGCAGCCTTCAGCCTTCTGGACACCAAAGCTACCCCCTTGGGAATCCAGTCTTTCCTGCCAGGCCAGGACCCCTAGAATCCCCTCCCTCTGTCCCAGCTGAGGGCAGCAAAGCTGGTGGTAGAGCACTTGAGCCTTTGACCTCGTAGCTTCTGGCAGGAGGACTTGGTCCCTTGTGACCCCAGGCTGGTTTCTCCCCAGCCCTACATCTCCCCAACGGCCCCTGGATTCAGGTCTTGGGGGTCAGAGACTTAGGGAAAGAAGCGAGGGAGGGAAGTGAGGGAGGGAACTTTGCCAAGGCCACCTGCTGGCCCCCAGATCAGGAAACTGGTTTAGAGCCTGAGGTCAGCCCCCAGGGAGGGAGGTCCCAGTGCGGCCTATCAGCTGACCCTTGCAGGAGGCAGGATCAGAGCCCCTAAGCTGTTTCCAGTCGTCCCCACTGGGGTTGTCTGGGCAACAGGTGGAACAGGATCCCCGGGAGAGGGTGAGACCTGGGTGTGCCACTGGGAGTGGCTGGGCCTCCCCTCTGCCCCACCTGGAGCTGTTCCTGTTTCTAGCGCTGAGTCCAGGAGGTACTGCTGGGGTACTAATGTGGGTCTAACTCTTGGATTGGATTTCCCCTTCTAACTGGGGATTCAGGTTTCTAATCTGGCGGCTCCCAGCACCCAGCCAGTCTGTCACCCTGTGATGACAGCCCTTTTACCTCAGTGCTGTGGGAACCACCACAGGAAGGTGATTCAAGGCTACGTGGCAGATAGGAGATATTAATGTTTCAGGTGGTCTGGACACATACCCCCAGGATGGGATGTCAAGTTGGAGCCCTAGAGGGTGTAGAAGAGGTTGTGCAACTGGCACCTGGCCTCGGAAGCTGGACTGCCTGGGTTCAAGTCCTGGTGTTGGCCCAAGTAAACGGGGGCTGGTCACTCTCCAGCTGGGGGACTCAGCTATTATGAACATTAAACAATAATCCTGGAACACAGTGCTCAAAACATCAAAGCTGCTGTCGGCTGGCATGACCCTTTTCCGAATTGGGTGGGCCAGTCAGGCCTGTGAGGCAGGCCCATGAGACGGACCTAGCATCACAGGCCTTTCCAAAGTCTGCTGTTTCAGCCACAGCAGGTCAGTGAGCACGAACAAGGATCAGAACCGGCCCTTGCCCTTTCTGCACCACCATTTCTGCTGAGATAAATGAACTTGTTGGTTGACCTTTTCTCCCCCTTTTCCCCACCACACAGGATTAAGGAAGTAATTACTCTTCTCACGACAGGCTGTCAG